TTTTGTAAAAAGTGGACGTTTTAGCTTATGCCCTCCAAATGATTGACATCACGTGTATCAAACAAGTCGGCATTGTTTATCTCCCAAATCGGAACTTGACAACAAACACATGTATACACGTGCCTTGAATGTAATGAATATCCATACAAACTTATAATTGTAACTTTTTGGTATGGGCAAAAAATCACATGTTTTCTTTTCTTGTTTTTTTCTTTACCCCCTTCTTTTCTTGTTTGTATCTTTTATTATATTTTTTTATACCTCTGTATTCACTTTTAAATTTTTTTTTCACTTTTTTATAAGATGTTATCAGATTGACAATATTCTATTGTAGGATGGTAGTTAAAACAAGCCTTTAGTTGATATTATCTTAATTACTTAATTAATTGTATCTTACTGATGCAGCAGATCGCCGATAGTTGCATATAGATAGCCAGTTAGATATACAAGACAACTACATCATAGTTTTATTGTTTTACATTTTTCATAAAATAATAGCTTTAATAAACAGAAATTACTGGTGTGATTACCTAAGTTGAAAAAAAAAATTTTTAAACAATTTTCTAAATTTATTTTGTTTATAAAACTACATTATAAAAGTATTAAATAAAACAAGAAAGCAATATTTTGTTATTTTAAAAAAAAACTTTAAGCAAAAACTATCTTTTTAGCAAATTTGCTAATATTAATAGTAAATAATCTAAACCCTATTTAAATAAATATTTTTAGAAGTCTTGATATTTTATTTATATAAATCAAACCCTTTATTGATTTTTCTAACTCTGCTCAATTTTATCATACTCAAGAACTGTCGCTGAAGCTGGAAATTAGAGACCTCGATTTGAAAATATATACAATTTTATAATCAACACTAAATTCTAAGCTAACTACGTATAAAAAAAATGCATTCCAAAAAAATTTTGAAAATTTCCGGCTTTAAGCTGGGCTGACATTAAGCCAGCAAAATTATGTTACGTAATATGATCAGGAAGATAAAAATAATTTTCTTCTAAACCCTAACGCGTGATTGCGAAATTTTTAAGATTATCTCATTTTCTGGACAATCTACTAGTGTTAGTATCCATGTCAGCAAATCTATTTGACGTTTCCGGTTGGACTCTTGGTGATTTGGTCCCTCATGAATCTCTGAAAACTCCCGAATCTCGCAAATTGAAAAATATAAAGCATAAAATCAAGAAACGTAAACAAATTAACGAAAAAGGTCCTACTTCAAAAATCGAAGTATTATCAATATTTGAGTTTCATATTGAAACGTATATTTGTTTCTTCTGCTATCTTGATAACTTATTTTGTACATCAAGAATAAAACAATCAAAAAAAATTCGTTCATGCAACAAAAAATGTTGAAAAACCTTTCGAAAGGCAAGTTTCGTTGGATCAATGAAAAACTTTATACATCATCGAGTTCTTCTGCTCTTGAGCTGTTCCAGAAAAATCCTCTTATGTTTGATGAGGTAATAGTATTTGGTTTGTTCGGTTTTACTTTTGAGTATACTAATTTTCTTCTTTCTTAGTACCACCAAGGTTTTTGTTCAGCTGTTAAATCTTGGCCAGTGAATCCTGTCGATATTTTTATAAACTATTTAAAAGGAAAACCAAAAGAGTGGATTGTGGCCGATTTAGGTTGTGGTGAGGGTAAGATTGCTCAAGAAGCTTCCAATAAAGTACTTTCTTTTGATTTGGTAGCCAAAAATAGCATGATTATTGCTTGTGATATTGCAAAGGTTTGTTTCTAATATTTCTTGTTACTATTCTAAAGGCTTTATCAATGATTATTCCTAATTTCAACTAATCTTGATTTTCTTAATAACCATATAATCTCTTAGCTGCCAATTCCATGTTCTTTATTCGATATTGCTATATTTTGTCTATCTTTGATGGGAACCAACTATGTCGATTTTTTGAAAGAAGCTCATCGAACATTAAAACCCAAGTATGTCTTAGCATTATTTCTTGAAATTATACCTTTATTCTGCATAAAATTAAATCATACTTTAACTCTTTATATAAT